AACCTGGCCAATAGGTGAACTTCCATTGGCGGTTTTACATGGATATGAACTTTCATTATCTATCTATCTATCTATCTATCTAGCTCTCTATCTCTCGATCTCCCTACCTCTCTATCTATCTCTCTATCTCTCTCTATCTCTCTCTCTTTCTCTCTCTCCATCTATCTGTCTGTGTGTTTTCTCTCTCTCTCTCTCTCCATCTATCTTTCTATATGTCCATCTACCTAGTCTATAATCTATCCACCGGTCACCTACCTATCTGTTTATCTGCCTGCCTATGTACCTAGTTCTCAATCAATCGATCTATCTATCTCTGTCAGTCATTCATTTTTTCTTCCGGTCTGTCTATCTATCTCTCTATCTCTATCCATCTATCTATCTACCCATTTATCTCTCTATCTCCCTCTCTCTCTCTCTCTCTCTCTCTCTGTTTCTCTGTCTTCCTATCTATCATCTACGTACCTATCCATTTATCCATCTACCTACCTGCCCGTTGGTTTATCTGCCTGTCTATCTCTCTCTGTCTCTCCATCTATCTATCTACCTACCTATCTATCCCTATTTATCTATCTACACCCCTACCTATTGATCAAGCCATCTGCAAGTCTATCTATCTATATTTCTCTTTATCTATCTATCTATCTATCTATCTGTCTGTCTATTTATTTACCTATCTATCGATGTATTCTGTCTGCCTATCTATCCATCCATCCATCTATCTATCTATCTATCTGTCCCTTTCTCTCTATACACCTGTCTATCTCTCTCCCTCATGTTTATCTACCTCTCTCTCTCTCTATCAGTCAATCAGTTAACCAGTCAATCAATCAATCAATCAATCAATCAATCAATCAATCAATCAATCAATCAATCAATCAATCAATCAATCAATCAATCAGTCCATCTATCTATCTATCTATCTATCTTACTATCTACCTTGTTTCAACCTACCTACTCACTTGTCAATTTATCTATCTACCAACCTATCTATCTATCTCTCTCTATTTATCTACCTATCTATCTCTTCATCTATCTTGCCATCTGTCCGTCTATCTAGTCTATTATCTATCGACCTACCTAACTATTTCTCTACCTGCCTACGTACCTACTCATCTGTCTGTGTATCTATTCAATATCTATCTCGATCTCGCTCTCTATCTATATACCTCCATCTATGTATCTCTCTATCTATCTCTCTATCTCTCTTTCTCACTCTATGTATCTAGCCATCTGTCTCTCTGTTTCTTTTTCTCTCTCTCTCTCTCTCTCTCTCTCTCTCTCTCTTGACTACTTATCTCTCTATCTCTATATCCATGTGTCTATCTATCTATCTATCTATCTATCCACCTCTCTCTCTCTCTCTATCTGCTTAACTCTCTTTCTACCTACCTCTCGCTCTATATATCTGTCTATCTGTAAATACATAAATCTATCTATCTACCTCTGTCTATCTACCTACCAACATCTCTCTCTCTCTCTTTGTATCTATCTATCTATCGATCTATCTATCTATCTACGTACCCAGCTACTTATCCGTCTACCGACCTACCTATGTATCCATCTACCTATCCAATTCTCTCTGTCTTTCTAAAATGTACCTACATATCTATCTCTATTCATCTATCTACTTACCTGCCAACCTATTCATCAACCTATCTACCTATCTATCTATCTCTCTTTCTCTATCTACCTATCTCTCCCTGCATCTATCTACCAACCTCTCTCTATCTACCTTCCGCCGTCTTGGTTGCTTGGCTGATTCCGCCGGGCATTTCTTTGGCTGGCTGGCTGGCTGATTCCGCCGGACATTTCCCTGGCTGGCTGGCTGGCTGATTCCGCCAGGGACCCGGAGTGCAGGACCCCTACGATCTAAACCAACCCTAAACCAACCCTAAACCAACCTTAAACCAGCCCTAAACCAACCCTAAACCAGACCTAAACCAACCCTAACCCAACCCTACACCAAGCCTAAACCAAGCCCAAACCAACCCTAAACCAACCCTAAACCAACCCCCCCTACACCAGCCCTGAACCAACCCTAAACCAGCCCTAAACCAATGCTACCCCGACCCCAACCCAACACTAAACCAACCCTAAACCAGCCCTAAACCAACCCTCAACCAAACCTAAACCAAAGCTAAACCGGCCCTACAACCAAGCCCAAACCAACCCCAAACCAACCCAAACCAGCCCTGAACCCACCCTAACAAACCCTAAACCGTACACCAAGCCTAAACCAAGCCCAAACCCAAACCAACCCCAAACCAACCCTGAACCAACCCGACCCCAACCCAACCCCAAACCAACCCTAAACCAGCCCCAAGCCAACCCTAAACCAAACTACACCCAACCCTAAACCAACCCCAAACTAAGCCTAAACCAAGCCGGAACCAATCCTAAACCAACCCTCAACCAACCCTAAACCAGCCCGTAACCAACCTACACCAATCCTACACCGACCCCAACCCAACCCCAAACCGACCCTAAACCAGCCCCAAGCCAACCCTAAACCAAACTACACCCAACCCTAAACCAACCCCAAACTAAGCCTAAACTCAGCCGGAACCAATCCTAAACCAACACAAACCAAACCTAAACCAACCCCAAACCAAGCCGGAACCAATCCTAAACCAACCCTAAACCAACCCGAAACCAGCCCTAAAGCAACCCTAAACCAATCCCAAACCAGCCCTGAACCGATGCTACACCGACCCCGACCCAACCCTGCCCCAAACCAACCCTAAACCAAACCTAAACCAACCCTAAACCAACCCTGCACCAAGCCTAAAACCAACCCAACCCCAAACCAACCCTACACCAACCCGGGAACCAACCCCAAACCAGCCCTAAACCAACCCTACACGAAACCCACACAGACCCCAACCCAACCCTAAATCAACCCCAAACCAACCCCAAACCAATCCTGAACCAGCCCTAAAACAAGCCTAAACCAGCCCTAAACCAACCCTCACAAATCCCACACCGACCCCAACCCAACCCCAAACCAACCCCAAACCAATCCTAAACTCACCGCAGCCCATATTTGATTGACCGGTTCATCTGTACGTGATTGCCGGGTTCTGCTGTACGTGATTGCGGCGCAGCCTCCAGTAGCTGATTGCAGGGTCCAGTCTTTGATTACCGTTTTACTCATGCCGTGACACACGCGTTTCCGATGGCTTTAGCAAACATGTGCACTTGTGTAGGGCGACGTCCCGGCTGTGTGACGAAATGAGGATACCAATGATGCGATTTCAGTTCTAATCTCAGCTCGCAACGGGCCAATAAAATACGCTCAGGTGATATCCCCAACAGCACGCGGTGCTATTATTAGTGCTCGCACCACCCTGCAGACCCTGCCGGAACCCTCGTGGAACCTTATGTCAGGGCCGCCCCCCACAGCTTTCAGCTGTTGGGAAACCTTTACACCTGGCCTTGAGCCACCTAGCCGTCACCTACGGAGTGAGCCTTACACCTGCAGACCACCCTGGAACCTCCGGAGCCTGCCTTGAACCTTACACCTGGCCTGCACCAGACCACCCCGAAACTTCCTTGAACCTTACACTTGGCCTGCGCCAGACCACCCCGGAACCTCCGGAACCTGCCTTGAACCTTACACCTGGCCTGCACCAAACATCCCCGGAACCTCCGGAACCTTGCTCGAACCCCCTTTAGCTTCTGTTGCGGAAAAACCCACAACATCAGTTCGGCTGCAAGCGGGCATCCCCAGCAACCCTGGCGACAGCCCCGGCATCCCCGACCCTGGCATCCTCCCCTTTCATAACACAGCTCTAAGCCCGACAACACTCACCTGAAACTGGACAGGCCCTGAAACAACCCAAAACTGATCTAGAATCAATCAAACCCAAACTAAGCCCAAACCAACCTTAAACCAACTCTACACCCTTTATCCCATCCTTAGCCAGCGCTGGTTTTTGGTTTGAGGGTTGCTGGTTTGGGTGGCGTTGGTTCCCACAGGCTAGGGCCTAGAAGGTTACTTTCTGACCACATAGGCAGAAAGTGACTCAACAAACCAAATAGGCATGCTTTGAGACACGCGCGCCGCGGTTTCCAGGAACATGCTTGACACGTGCCACATTTGCTCTGCAAACGGTCGAAAAGTGCTGAAAATGTGACAGACATCTGTGGACTCGTGACAAGACTTTACCGCGCATACCAGCACAAATGCCCAACCTAATTCAACTAGGCAATCGCCGCACAAGGGATAGACACCATCACTTGTAGTGATTGGTCAGGCTTGAACCTGGTTTGAAATATGCTAGCCTTGAATTGAAATTAGGCTGGATGTATGCAATACATCTCAAGCAAGAATATGCTAGACATGCAATCGGATTACCCAATATCTATGCTAGAAATAGGCTGAAACTTCTAGAATAGAGATGCATGGAAAACATGTGCTGGAGCATGCGCTGGAAGCACGCAAGAAATATACTGCAAAATGCACTGATCGAACCCAAAAATCGGACGACTTACATAGAGCGATGACAGATTCGCACCTGTAGGAAAGGTGAGTCTATCGATTGAATCTCAAAGGTTGTGGCAAACTGCATGCAGGAAAGCATTCACCATGGGGCCTGCCTTTTAGAAGCACTGTGGTGTTCAATGGTTTGCACTTTCAATGGAGAATGCAACAAATGTGTAGCGCATGCCCCAGTCTCTAGCACGTATAACATACCTTCTGTCTGCCTTATCATTATCTTGCGTCTTAAGAGCTTGTTGTTTGCGGCCTTTCTCCAGCATATGTCTAGCAGTAGCCCGGCATGTGTAGAGCATTGGTGTAGCAGACATACCATAGTTCTTACAGTATGTCTAGCGTGTTCATAGCATAGTTGTCTAGAATAAACGCGTTCTCTTTAGCAAAGGCGGATGTGATGCTGAAGCATAACATTGAGATCTAAGAACAAGTTTCTTCATGAAACTGTAGCTGTCTGCTCATTCAGCTGGCATGCTTTCCGATCTCTCAAGCAGGTCGGGCGTACCCAGTCGAATGTCTCGCCTGGCTCTGAGCAATAGCGTGGACCCCAAACCTCCAGGATGGCAAATGGTCTGATGGTCTGGGCACATGTTGAGACTGTCCTATGCATCGGCACTCTGCTCAGCCTCATATTTCTCAATAGGAGCTTTGGGATCCTGCAAACCAGTAAGTAAGCACTCAACAAGACAGCAACTGTTCCGACAAGTTCATCCTGAACTTCTGGCAGCATCCAACTAATCTCGTACTTTCTTGCTCCAGGTGTGGCCTCAGCGAAGGCTGTCTCAACATGTTTTGTCCTCTGCTGTTTAAGGGCAATACGTTCAAGCATCGCGGCGCGCTGCCTCTTGTGGGAGGAACTGGCACCTTCAGAAGGTGGGCTTCCTTGAATGCCCAAGCGCACCACTGCCAGAGCGGCTGGACGCTAGACACGTCCCCGACAAATGACGAGAGACAAACAAAGACAGGACCGTTTAGAATGCCGAGAGATGCCCGACCTGTGCACAAGCTTGTTGCGCTCGCTGCCGCAGTTCCTCTTTTGCAGCGTGCACCTCTAACAAACGTTGACAATGAAATCGAAAAATAGAATCACTGATAAAGCACTTGTTCAGCACTCTGCCTCGTGCAGAGCTTCTGCACCTTTAGCTTTAGTGTCATCATCTAAGGATTGTAGCCTGAGTGTTGCGTAGCAACTGAGCATGCATAGCCGTTCAAAAGTTGATGCATCGCGATGGGCGATGGACTAAGCTGCGCACTTATCCGGATGAAGCAACAGCACCAGCTTCTTCCAAACTTTTAAGATAGCCTTTCCACACAAACGAACATATCGAGCACATAGTGCATGGCATTGCCACATTCATGCATCATCATGTCCTCTTCCGTTGCTTCCCCGGAAATTTGCAACTTCTCCTTGAGATCATGTTGGTTGTGAGTCTGCCAAGATGCTGAAGGCAAAAACGCAGCCTCTGCAGACGCTGCTCCAAGGATGCGCTGGATCCTCAACTTGCCGGTCAAAAGCGTCTTACCAATGCACATCCCACATTTGCTTTTCACACGCTTCTCTGACAGGAGGTGGCGTGACTGGCGGGGCTGCTATTAAACCCCATTAAAATTGTCATTAGCTCGTCTGTTGGTTCTGAGGCCGCCACTCAGATGAAGCATCGCGAGTCTTTGTCGGTGCTTTTGCGGCAGCCTTTAAGCTCGGTCACGCAACCAATGCGCTCTGCAGTCGGCAACCAGCCAAGGAGGAATATCCTTACTGACAGCATCAACTTGACTCTACTTGTGATGCGTTCATGCAGAAATTGCCTGCCTTGGGAGGCGGACCTCCAGGTGGAGTAGGCTTTACCTGATTGGCTTGAGCCAAACACAGACCTGCAATCCATCTGCGCTGTCCACAACCAATGGCAGTCCTTCGCTCTCGCTCCCGTCGGCGGCAGCAATGCCTGGCTGAGAACTTATGCCAATGCATCAACCAAAATAGGACAACAACGCAGAAGCACCCCGACAAATGGCAGCGTACCAACTGCATCAGCAGTTGTCGCTTGCTTGAGCGAGACTTGATTGAGAACCTACACGCGATGCAAACACATTCATGTGTAAATGTCTCAGTACATGTGTGGATGTGTCAATATACCTAGATAAGCTAGCAGTCATTTGCCAGGAGAGTCACCAACTCCTTTGGAAGCCGTTACATCCTTGCCCCAAATCGCTTTGTGCAAGGCTCTGGCTGGTTGATGGGCAGGTGGATGGGTTTTTGCGTTTGCTTGCTGCTCTGTCAACAAACGGTTTTTCGTTGCTGTCTTGTTTCCCTGCAATGGCCTTGGAGCATCCATGGCTTTTAGCAGCGGTGAGCGAGGGCAAGGCCGAGCAGGGGGCCGCGGTTCCTGCAACTTCAGAGGCTTCGCATGTTGCGAAGCTTCTTGAATGCCGGCTGCCTAGCCTGCGTTTCAGGCCTTGGATCATTTTCCTCATCCATCCTCAACAAGCGCTCAATCAACTGTGGCAATCAATCACCTGTGCTTTCTGCAAATCGCTCCCGTACTTCGTGTCAGTCTGTCGTCTGCATGTGTTTGTGTCTGGGCGCTGAAAATGGAATTGGCGCCTAGTGATGTCATCGATCTGCTCGGTCTCTCCTGTTTGACGAAGTGAGAACCACTAAAGAAGCAGTCTTACGAGTGCATATCTTTGAAAGAATTCAGTGGCCTCGACCAAGACCTTGCTGCAAAATACGGCTGAGACGGATCCTGTGTCGGCTGCAGCTGCTCTTTTCTTCAAATCCTGCAAGCGCCAACACCGTACATGTTTGCTCACGTGATGTCATATTTTGTACTAGTGCTTCCGAGCCTTGCATCTTGGCCTTCTTCTGCGCGATGTTTGCCATTCACTCAGAACCTGTGTGCATGCGTGTGCGCGTCTGTGTGTGTGCGTGTGAAGCCTGCAAGGCTGCACAAGTGGTTGACTTTTGACTGCGCAAACCACTGAAAACCGTGGCACATTCTCTCAAGTTCAATTTGATTTTTTGTTTGCGATGCATGATACCGTCAAGGCTCAGCATCGGCCTGAAGACGCGTCAATTTGGATCTCCATGGCATTGCCAACCCCAGAGCGGGTCACACTTTTGACTGCTTGAATTGAACCGTTGGCAACACTTGACACGAGAATTTGCAACGAGCACCGCGCAGGATATCTCGCGGAAGAGTGTTGAACTCCCTTGTAACATAGAAACTGTGGTTGTTGTCAGACGGCCAAAAATGCTTCAGTTGGACAAGCGTTGTATACCTTCAGGCGGTAGTTTTTGGTTCGCTTCAAATGATATCAAACCATCAGCTGTTATGGACTGAGCCTCGCACCATCACATATTTGCTGGACAACGCGCTGCTCCCAAAATGCATGCTTTTTCAGTTCTCAACAACCAATGGCCATGCGACGTACGGATCGTGTACTATGACGCATGAATAAGTGCATGAGAATGGATCCAAAAAAAAACAGGGATCAACAAAATACTGCCGAACGCAACAAGCATCTGACAAGGGCATCCAGGAGGATCAACAATTACGCACATCAAACCAAAAATGTGATGGGCTTAGTTGGAGTGCTGCCAAATTTGGTTTGGTGTCGGCTTGGGGTCAGTCCAGGATGAGTTTGGCTTAGGTTTGAGGTTGAAGGCGGATTACGGGTTGCAGGTTTGTTTTGGCTGGAGTTGGGTTGGATTCTGGGTTGGTTTTGGGTTTGGCATGGGCTTGAAGTTATTTCAGGGTGAGATTAGTGAGATTGGGGTTGATGCATGGAATTGAATTTGGAATGGGTTTGGGGTGAGTTTCGGTGCGTATGGGATGGGTCTGGCGTAGGTTTAGGGCAGCTTTGGTGTTTGCGTTTGCACCCATCTCGAGCCAAGCTTAAACAGACTCAACTTCAGATAAATCCTCACACGTTGCCTTCATACTGCAGCATCTAAGGCACTAGCGCACTGGCCGCCCAGTCGCGGGGGCACTTTTCATGTGTATGGTGCACGCCTACTTCCGGTTCACTGTCCTCGACCTCCTGTGTCGTTGCCTTGACGGGAGTTTTCCTATCTCATTCTTGAACTTCATCACGATGAATTCCCATAGCCACCTGACAAGGCTCAAGGCTCCAACACTGGCCAAAATGGCCAGCAACAACAACCACCACTCGCTGCCATCTTCCTTGCCATTGACTTCGTCCTCCTCCATCTTGCTTCCGTCTTCCGTTGGCTCCCAAGATGTTGGCAAAAGCTGGCACCAGATTGAGGCCACTCAGAATCTTCTTGGCCCCCTTTGTCACACAACATCTTCCTCTCTGAGTTGTTGCGCGTTTCCTCTTTGCGCCCACATCGCGTCCCGGAGGACTATCGAACGAAAACTCTGCACGCCCAAATCGTTGGGACCTTTAGTAGTATTATAATGCCCCGAGTTTCCAGGCCTAACAACAGTGTGGGGGAAGCGCCTCAAACTGTCAGAATCCGGCCACGCGCCCTCAAACCACGGCAAAAACACAGAAGAAAGCGGGCCAAACCCACGAGTAGTTTCAAACGGCCACAGCGACACAGCGACGGAAAGAGCAAAAAACGATTCAAGCCTCGGCCAAAAAATCATCAGTCGCAACGCAAAACACGAACATTGCAGGAAGCCAGGCTCACTTCGGCCGGAAACAATTGACCTCGCCCTCGACACTCAGACTCAAAACCCTAAAGCACGACCAGCGGCAAGGATCAAACTTCGCACTGGCCACGTGGCCTCAAGCCTTTACAAAACACAGACGACCCTGGGACGCGGTGCACCTGCTCCGAGGAAGCATTGTCCCCCTCTTCAGTGTTTCCAAGCAACCCCGGAAAGAGCTGAGCCAGCTCAGTAGCCGACCAAACCCCCCCTTCACCCGGGCAGCCCCAAAGCCTTGCGCGCGCCTCAGCACACGCACGGTGCGCCAGGCCTTTCGCCTTGTCAGCTGAAAAAAATCACCGCTGTTATCTCCAAAGGAGGTCTTGCCATCTGGGAGCAGCCGCCCTCGTCCATGTCCTGGTTGGAAGCCGCCAACTTCCACATGCTCCGTGCGCATCACTGCTGTGATGGCGCGTTGCAACCACACCTTCAAACATCCAAGCGTTGCTGGGGTCCGTGAAAACGGTGTGTACCTTAGCTCGCTTACAGCAGAGTACCCGCCTTCACTTGCCCGCCAACTGGCCGCAGTGGGAACGGGGCGAATCGCCAAGACCGGAACTGTTAAGCAGGCGCTGCCTTTGCCAGCCTCCGTTCCAAGGCCGCCACGCCGCTCGCCCCACAGACAGCCAGGCCTCCTTTCATCGGCACCTGCTTCGTGCCATTGCGCAATCATGGGGTGACCTTGTTGCCTTGAAGTATGCAGTGGCCAGAGAAGCCACCAAGCGCCTCGGACAAGCCCGAGCTCGAGGTCCGCGAAGGTAACTGGAAGACAGCCGAGGAAAGAAATTTCCAACAATTGGGTAGTTGCCACCAGCCTTACAGAAGCCAAAAAACAGTGGCTTTTGGGTGTTGCCGTAGGAAAATTGAAGGTGGTCTTTGCAGAAGGAAAAAAACCACGCCCTGTCCTGGACAGCACAGTGTGCCAGGTCAACACGCGATGCTGCCTGCCAGAACGCCTCAGCCTTCCAATGGCATTGGACCTGGCCCTGTCTACCCATCCAGAAGACATGCCACTTCCGGCACGGACAACTCTGCCACCGAAGCAGGCATCAACAAGCTTTTCAGCACTTCTTGGCCCAATTGTTTCCGCAGCTGGTGGCCACCTGGGCTCACGCACAGGAGCTCACTCTGCGCCCCATCGATGCGCCTTGCTAAAAAAGCGGATTTGAGCATGCCACCATGCATCTCAAGCAGCGCTCTGGCTTCGAAGGCGGTGTCGTCGAGAATGTTGTGCGCCGAGTTGCGATCAAGGTCGAGAGGCTCAAAGCAATCAAGGCCAAACTCCAGGGTGAGACCTGCGCGGCTGGCGCTGGCAAGCTGTGCGCTGGGCCCTGTATGGATAGACGTTGCGGCGCTGCGCATGGAATGGCAAGGCTGAAATTTGCTGCGGTCCTTGGCCGGGTGTTTGAGCTGGCAGTTCAGGATGGCGCAGACATGCGCGAATCGGCAGTTGTCGTCCGAAGTGCAAAGGCTTGTCTGGTAGCGCTTGCAAATTTCGCATTGTCTGAAAGACCGGCTCAACTGTGGCGCGCTGTCCCCCTCAGGCCATAGGGCGAGGCGGGCGCCAGCCCTGATGACAACTGTGATTGCGCCTCTTGGCAGCCTCAGCTGCGCAGCTGCGCTGAGCAGGGACGACTTTAGGCTGTGCAGGGAAAACGCATTTGCCTCTTCTTTGGTGACAAGTTGTCTGCCCTCTGGCTGCCAGGGAAGCTGGATGGCCATCTGAGACACACAATTGCCTGCAGGTACGACATGGGTCTTGCAAGGCTAGGGCAATCCCGGCAATTCCAAATCTGGCACGCAAGGCAAAATGAAGTCAGGATCGAACTCATCATGCCAGAAATCTCGTGTGACGTTCAAGGCTTGGCTGAGCAATGAGAGCCACTTGACGAGCCACAAGTTGGACAAGTCCGTGGGCCTTTTGCTTGGCGCCACGCTGCTCTGCGCGCACTGCTTGGGGACATCCAACGGCCCTTTCCCTGAGGACTCTGCTGGGCCCCACCAGCCCTTCGCCCAAAAAACATGTGAGTTCTCTGACACACGCGGAACCTGGCCTATTCGTGCAAACCAGGAGGTCTACACATCATGAAATCTGAAAGGCGGGCACGACTCCTGGGCAGCGGCCTGATTGGCGGTCTGAGCAGCGGGCGTGACACTGCCAGGCTCGTCTGGGAGTGCTCCGGGACCGGCAGGCCTGGTGGCTGCACAGACACGGCCGGGCACAGGGCCCAAGGCATATTTGCAAACAAGGCACAAAAGTTTGAAGGCGAGGCTTTGGACACTGCACCGCCTAGGTGTTGGTGCGCAAGGCCGCTCCCTGTGTTGGAGAACACCCGAAGGTGAAGCTAAGCAAGAGAAGCCACTCAAGCATCGCGAAGCGTCCAACCTGGGCGGGCGGGCGGGAAAAAAATTTGAAACCAAACCACCACGTTGCGCATGCATGTGTGGGTGCAAGCTATAGAGCCAAATGCTCACGGGGAACAAATGTCACCTCAAGAATTAAAGTCGCATCTTAACAGAGGCTATCCTTAATTCTTATCAGTGAGCATTTGTCTCTATATCTTATACATTCATCAAGTTCATAATACTTTACTATTCTTGTTTTCTCCACAGCGGGCAGAAACCTGCATTCAGATCACAGGGGTGAAATGAGGCTTTCCTTTTCACCACAGACAAACACTAAACGGGGCCTGAAGGAACCTCTATTAGACCCATTGCGAAAGGTGACTGAAGGCCTCAAACCCCGCTTTCTTCATCCGAGGTCACCGCCCGCGTGCGGCTTGAACCAAGGCCAGCACAGAGTCGTTACCGCTTGGTGATCAAAACCTTGCTGTGTAAGGCCTGAAAACTCCAACCTGCTTGGCGCATCCGCAGGGTTGGATTCACTTGGAATGCGAGAATACCATGGACGCAAACACAACTGGGTTTCCAAATGCAAAACTGCGGAAACAAGGAATTGGGCCTTGCGCTGCTGGCAAGTACCTCGAATAAGCGAATACTGGCTGATTTCTCAGATGTTCTCCCCACGCCGCCAAGGCCACCAGGACTGGTAGGAGTTCTGCACGCAAAATGCGCCGAGGTGGCCAGAGCGCCAGGATCTCCGTGCCGAGGCCTAATCCCCAGCAAGCTCGACACATGCCTGGACGCGCCGCCGCGCTACCTTGCGCAGGTGAAGACGGACTGCCTGCTGACGCAGCGGCTGCCGAAGCGCTTCGCGGAGCGGCTGCGCCACCCGGACGGCACGCCGGTCTACCGCGTGGAAGAGACGAAGCCGTTGCTGGCAGCCTTGGCCTCCAGCGCATGTTGGTCCCAGCCGCGTCTGCTTTCTGTACGGAGTTCCGTACTTGCAGTAGGTCACGTCCACCCAGGGCAGACGCTCCATGAACGGCCGGGTCTTCAGCAGTGTGGTCCCAGCTCCGGATGTCGCACAGGATGGTGGGCTCAAATTTCAAC